TTTCAATGCAGCATAGTATTCCATTGTGCGAATATACCACAGCTTCTCTAGCCATTCGTTTGTTGATGGGCACTTAGGTTGTTTCCAACTCCTTGCTATTTAAAGTTTTATTTTGATTTTTTTTTTGAAACAAAGAAAGCTAAAGAAGCTTTATTAAGCCGTGGGGGTGGGGAGGGAGAGAGACACTTCATGGTTGTCAGATGAGGAGCTTTTCACTCCCTTTGTTGACATGTTGATATTCCTTGAATCTTTTGCTCTTCCTTTAACCTTAGTCCAGGCCTGACATCCAGCCTCTTTAGTGAGGAAAAAAAAGGGCTACGTATTCTTTCTAACTACTTCCTGCTGAACAGGGGTGAAGATCTGGGGCTTAGAGGCTGGATTGAGATGGCCTGGCATCAGTAGCCAGTGGAGAATACGAATGTAATAACAGCTGGTTCACCGTTAAGTTGGTCCATTCAATGTCTTGAGACTGAGCAAGCTTGTAGGTTGAAGAGAGAGAGATGAGGGGTGTCACACTTGCCCCAAAAGAGGGTGGGGACGTAACACGTCACAACTCCTCTTCTGGATTATGCACACCAGGATGTTAGTTAGGTCTTTGCACTGGCTATAAGGCCAAGGACTCAAAGAAAATAAAGAGAGAGAGAGAGAGACAGAGAGACAAAGCTAAAGAAACGTTATTAAAGGGAGCTGTGGTGGCCTAGTGGCAAGAAGCTGCTCTGTAATCCCAGAGGTACGCGGTTTGAATCCACCAGATGCTCTGCTGGAGAAGGAGGGACAATATCCTCCTGTACCAGTCAGATCCAATTTTATGGTGGTTGTTGTTAAGTGCCGTAGAGTTGCAGGTGACTCATAGCGACCCTATGAAGGAGAGTCCTCGATGCTAGTTTGACGGTACACATACAAAAAATAAAAAACTAAAAAAAAACCCAAAACAAGAAGCAGCAGCTTTGTTAATGGGGCTCCTGGGTGGGATTCCTTGGTCTAGAGAAAGAGACAGACCAGAGAAAAACCGTGCCTTATTTAGATTTTTTAAAGGTCTGTTCTAGGTGGTATAGCACTGGTCTCTGTGTTGCTGTACAGAGGTAACCCGTGTTTGCTGTGATGCTGAACACTGTGACAGTGATGTGCCAAACGTGGTAATGGATACGCATAGTGGACAGTGTTGGCTGGAGCTTCCTGACTAAAACAAGCCTGGAAGCAGGAGCGGCATCCACTTCCGAAATGGCTTGCCTCCAGAAAATATATGTACGAACAGTGCTCAGGCCTTTCGTTCATAGGGTCGCTATGAGTCATCTACAACTCGATGGCACCTAACTACAACAACAACAATTTTAAACATGGTACAAAATGCAAACCGTATAAA